AATTATTTCAAACATTTCTTTCTCTAGTCCATCTATGCTCTAGTCTTCTATGCTGTGCGGAAAAACTCTAAACTATGTGCTAATTAGTCCCAGATTGTGACGTAGAACATTCCATTATCATCCCAAACTTGCCTCATATGCATGAGCACACACCTGTAGTTTGAAGAAAACACCACAGAGCTTTTGATAAAGTTTGACTTTGATAAGCATGCCATGATATTCAACAGAAACACATGCATGCATGTACAAACAAACTAGCACGCATGCACCCATGAAAATGAAATTAACAGGAAACAGGTGCCTATTGGCGTGGTTTCCCTTCCCCCATCCAGATCATGACGAAAACATTCTCCATCTGTAGCATGGTAAAGCCTTTGATTTCTTTAAATTGAAATGCTACCCTTTTAAGATATAATGATGTAGTTGTTGTTTTCCTATTTCATTGGTTAAATGTGTAATTCTCTATAATTATTGCCAGAAGTGCCAGTGGTATACATTAATTTTCACTACACTTTCAATTCATAGATATTTGCATGTAACCTTTTCCTGAATCTGCTATGTTTGAGTGGCTGTTATTTTCTCAACAATATGAAATCTGTATTTCATCATCTATACCCAAAAGAGTCAAGAATTGCCATTAAATGAAGCTCAGTTGATAAAAGAAAACAGCAGATTAAAGGCAATGAGTTACAATATTGTGAAATACTACACAAGTAACTCATAAGCATGGTTTTATGTCTGCGATCCCTTACAAAGAAACCTCCCGATCTTGAGTGAGAAATCATAATGCGGAGTAGAAATCGAGTGCTTACCAAAGGAAATAAAAATCACCTGCCTATTCTCATCGATCAGTTAAAGCTCCTTCAGCAGCAGGTAGGAAGAAGGTTGTCAGCCAGCCCCTTTGCTGACACAGGGGGAAAGTAGCAGGAATATAAGCATGAAATAATACTAAATAGGCAATGAGGAAAGGGGTACAAATTCTTTTCATGTCAATTTATTTCCCCCGTGAAGACAGGTATTTTTGCTGAGAATTTCCCCTCTGACACAATGACATCAATATTAGCCTCCCTCCCTCCCACCTCACAGCAGATGGGAAAAAGCCATGACAGGGTGGGAAGTGGGGAATGAAAGAATGAAAGATGAGGAAAGAGACTGTGACACGCCACATGCAGAGGGCACCCATTTTTACAGCAAAGGGTATCAGGGGGCCTGGCTTTCTTGCTGCGCAGACATAACTTTTAATTAACATATTTAAATCAGGGCTGCCACAGTACACTTGGGGTTTGCCCAGAGGAAATCCTTGAGAGTGTGTCTAAAGGGAGGTAGTTACATTGTATTAAAGAAGAAATTCATCATAGAGTGCACCTTACTGAAAAATCCTTGTGAAATGTGTCGAAGAGGAAATACCTATAAAGCATGCTAACAGGAAAATTTTGTGAGATGCATCTATAGAAATCTTTGTGAATTATGTTGAAAAGAAAATACCTCATATTGTTCATCGGGATAGCTTGTCAAACCTTCCATCTGGAAGGTTGTTTGTAGTGCGCTTGGAATACATTTATGGTATATGTCTGATTTTAGTAACGGGAATACCTCCAACCAATATTATTAATTGCTGCAAAGTTAGGTTTTTATAGACCAGTCAAGAGCTGTTTATTTATTTTTAATGAAATCATCCTGATTTGTTTGATTGTATTGATAGCAAAAATCAATATATATATTGATTTGATAAGAAAACAATTACACCCGTCTGCTTTTAAAGAAATTAACCACACAGCACTTAATAAGGAAATGTGTGTCATGAAAAAGCCCTGTGGATGAATATTGAAGGAAGTCTTAGCACAGTTTTCTTTTGGACTTAAAGGTGTTTCAAGGACAATTCTTGTGGAAGATGTCAGATTATTTTTGAATTATTCCTGTTGGAATGCTGTTAGTGTGTGCCTAGCAAATATTGAGAAAAGTTCCTCCAAATGTTCGATGAATATGTCTGGCATGTCTGAAGATTTTGACAGAACATGAGTTATTTTGACTTTCACATGAGGTAGAATTTGTATTATGCTTTTTAACACATTGCCAAGTGATTAGAAGTGAAAATATGGAGGGAGGAATAATGAGTGGTTAATTTCTTATTGACGACTCTACCATAGCATCTAAAGTTAAAAATGAACCCTTCCATGTCTAAGTGAATTGTTGAAAATCGCAACAAGGGAAATCTTGTTAATCAGCCTGTTGTTATTTAGGAATCCTCATTAAAGTTATTTAGGTAGGTTCTCAAACAATAATGTATGAAGACCATTGCAAAGATGACTCATCATGAAATCTGAGCAAATTTTGTTTGCAAAGACTGAGAGTCTTTAGTAAGCGCCCACTTGATAATGTCCATGAATGACTCGCCATCAGTTGCTGTTTGGTTATTGTCTTCAAAAGGGAAACAGATTTACAATGTTTTCTTTTCAACTCAATACTTTTTATTTTTTGCAATAAACATTACCAATCTCAGGAGGTTCATTGTATTAAATGAGGGAAAAAAAGAACTTCTGACCGATCCATAACAAAATGCACTGTAATTAGTGAAAGCAAGGATCCTCTCTGCTCCACACCAGCACTGTATGTCTGCTTACACTCGGAATAAATGCTCCAAACATTACAGATAAGCCCTCCAACAAACCTCCATGTGAATTAAAGTAAAAAACAATGACTGTGGGATAAATGGGAGCAAATATTTTAATCTAGCCAAATTTCCCTGCAGTATTGTATTCTAGTAAAACTTTAAGGTCCTTTTCTATGGCACTTATTGCACATATTTTACCTGATAATTATTTTAAACTATTGTTGATTTTCAATGTTTCTGCTGGGAATTAAGAAAAGCATTTGTGAAGAATTCCACTTTTTACTTACAAAAAGTCCCATGGGTCCTGCTTAAAATCTAATACCATCATACCAGTCTACTGTGACTCTGAAACATTAAAAAAAGTCACATATCGTGTAATTGGCATGATAGTTATGCCTTCTGGGTTAAGCTTGTCAAGATTCTTCCATCCACATAGCTAGTAAACTAAGAGGAAAATCAATAAAATGGAAGAGATATTTGCAGCTGTTGTGTGTCAATAAACCTGTAATAACTCTTTAGGCTCTGCTGATGGGACATGATTCTAAAACGTCCCCAACAACATTAAACATGCTGATTTTTAAACTGGAGATAGGACTTCAGGGAATTTATTCTCACCAAAGAAAATCATTGGATATGTTCAGACAATTCTGCATAATGTCTTTCACATTAAGTTGTATTTCTTAATTGTGCAACCTTGTTTATCTACCAATTACAGTGAGGATTCTACACCCCCCTTCACATCAAAATTGTAATGTGCTGGTTGAATGTTACACAACTTACTCTAATAGTAGGTGTTCTACATGAAAATTTGAAGGATGGTTTATTTAGTTACAGTACATTCTCTGCATATTAAAGGTGATTAATGGTGTTGACAAGTGTTCTAATACATTCTGAGCTTAGATCTTTTACACAAAATAAATTCAAATATTGTCAAATGTTTGCAAAAGTTTGGAATATTAATAAATCTAGACAATTTAGCAAATACTTTGGACATCCACATTTAGCAGCAAGCAAGTCTTTGTGTTTAAGCTTACTAAAAATAAGTATTTGATTATTTTTGCAATTTTACGTTCTAAGTGTTCTGTAAGAAAGATCTATCTTATCATACAACCAGTCATTACCACACTCATATCCACCAAAGCCCATTCTGTCCAGTCCATCATCAAAATTCCAAAACATCAGTGAACACCATCAATATCACACTGTCAACTGTGCATTCAGTCTTTATGAAAGTTGACTCAGAATGTCAAGCAGACATGTTGAAACAACAATGGCCTTTCAAGTTTTTAATCATTTCATGACTCTTTGGTGAGACTTGTTAATGACTGCATCTCAAAGACCTAGTTTTCTGCCTAATTATTAATGTCTTAGTTTAAGACCCCAAAGACTGCGAGACTTCAGACACACCTACTAAGTACTCCTTTCCTGATATATAATTAGGATTGTCCATCATGCTAGCAACACATCAATTCATCAATCAAATTGTTTGTCAAACAGTGGAAAAACAATTTTTCACTTGGCTGTCCTTAGTTCACTGGAATTAAAAAAATGTTTGACACCATTACTACATCCTCTTGTAAAAGTATGTCATTTCAGGAGCATGCACGATGAGACAACTTATAGACATTAGCTGATAGGCTTGATAATCAATAAACAACTTATCAAAGTTGAAGGGGAAATCAGAAGTGCAATCATTATGGTTGTTATCAATAACAACAGATTGAGCTTGCCAAATATAGACCACTCCTCCTCTAGCTCAAGGGTCAATTACTGGATGTCTCAATAAAATTGACTCTAACAGAAATCCATTTTCACGACTTCAGTGTGTATGTAGTGCACTGAAAATGGCAGCTCATTGACTCGTTGTTAAGTATGTTATTTTCATTATGTAGTGTACTGAATATGGCAGCTCATTGACTCCACATTGTTAAGCATGCTATTTTCACTATGCTTAAGGAACATTTTCTTGCCTTTATAACACTGTTAATTTGTTGCACACTTGCAGGTGTACACCAGTGAATAACTGACTTATGGAAAATAAACAGAATCAAATACCAATGGTTAGCTTGGATGCTGAATAAACAACTTGTTATTGTCTGTCCAATAACTAACATTCACCAAAATCAATTAAGATTACATGGTCTTGGAGATGATGTTCTAACTTTACAGTTTATTTGGTTTATACTTCAAATGATCTTTTTTATAGTTCTATTTTGTTTCTGATAATTTTGAATTTTAATAATTATCTGTGCAACTTTGGCTAATTTAAATTGTCTATATTTTCAACTCTTTTATATAGAAATATAGGCAATTTAGATCTTCCACAGAACACTGTCTCTTTATGTATAATATATTGTGTACATATAAATGTCAGTTCTCATTTTCTTAC